TTCTTCTTCACTTGTTTTTTTTTACAGTCGTCATAAAAAGTGATGAGAATATATTTCATATATATTTCCCCAGGTCACCTGACCCCTGACCTTTGACCTGTTAAGAACCCCCGTGTTTGAGTCCCGGTCTGGACCTCTGGCCTTCAGACCCGGCTGTTCAAAGTTCTCACAGTGAGGAGGTGGATGACGTGCAGGCAGCGGAGTTTCCACTGTCACATGACATCACTCTGCTGCCAACACACACACACACACACACACACACACACACACACACACACACTGGGAATATAAACAAAGGTCCAAAGTGCTTTGACTTCTGTGTGTGCGTCAACACCTTCCTCCGCTCTGATTGGCTGTCAGAATGACTTCATCGATGGGCGGAGGGAGCAGTGACACAAACACAGGAGGAGCAGGACAGGAGGACAGATGGAGGACAGATGGAGGACAGATGGAGGACAGATGGAGGACAGATGGAGGACAGATGGAGGACAGATGGAGGACAGATGGAGGACAGATGGAGGACAGATGGAGGACAGATGGAGGACAGATGGAGGACAGAATATATATATATATATATATATCTCCTGTATAAATACTGTCATTTCCAGACCACTGAATGCACCTGGATATAAGCCACACCCACTTCATCATCAAGAAGAAAACAATGATTGTACACACAGTCTGTAGACCACAGTCTGTAGACCACAGTCTGTAGACCACAGTCTGTAGACCACAGTCTGTAGACCACAGGTGTCCACGCTGTAACCTGGGATATTTACACAGAAAGATTAAAGATCCTAACAGTCCCAGGAACACGGCTGCTTCAGAGCCCTGACCCTAGTTCAACAACTGACCTCAACCCACAGACACTCACAGACAGACAGACCATACTAGTCTAACACACAGTATCCCATCAAAAAGTCAATGATCGCAGGATGAACTTCATGTAAAAATCCATCAATTAGCTGCATCATTGTTTAAGCTGCAGGGTTCAAAGGCTGTGAAACAAGTAGTGGCTTTGAGTCCAGAATTTACGGTCCCTAGAACCGGGTCAACCTCTCTCTCTCTCTCTCTCTCTCTCTCTCTCTCTCTCTCTCTCTGTGTGTGTGTGTGTGTGTGTATTAACAGGGTTCGTGTCAGTACAGTGCACACATACATAGATATCTATTTATATATAAACAGTCATGTAGGTCGTACACAGAACTTTATCTGCTGATGAATCATCAAACAGGATTTGAACCCATGACCAGCTGAGTGTCCACTGAGTCACCTGCTTGTCATACTGTTTCCACACAGCTGTTGATTCCTCAGCACTGACACACCAACATGACAGGACACAGCCCCGTGTGTGGGTGTGACTGCGGTCACAACAGTTTCATGTTGTTGTCTGCCCCCTACAGGAACTCTGACGCCAACACAGCTGCTCTCCACCTTTGTTCAGAGCTGAGGTCCACTGCCTTCCTTCTCTGATCTAAGAGCGTTAGCGTTAGCGTTAGCACGGCTCACTCACATCACAGGCCTCACTGTTGTCGTCCCTGTGCGGCAGCAGGAAGCTGAAGACGCTCAGCGCTCCATCACACTGCTCCACCGTCCGGTTCAGCTCCGCGCAGCTGGTCACCACCAGGTAGAAGTGTGTAGGGACGGGGGCGGAGCCTGGAGAAAACCTGTGACATCACAGACATGTAACAAGTCAGAAAACTGACGTGATCAGTTACAACTGTAACTAGTCGACTGTAACTAGTCGACTGTAACTAGTCGACTGTAACTAGTCAACTGTAACTAGTCAACTGTAACTAGCCAACTAACTAGTCGACTGTAACTAGTCATAACTGTAACTAGTCATAACTGTAACTAGTCAACTGTAACTAGTCAACTGTAACTAGCCAACTAACTAGTCGACTGTAACTAGTCAACTGTAACTAGACACAACTGTAACTAGTCAACTGTAACTAGCCAACTAACTAGTCGACTGTAACTAGTCATAACTGTAACTAGTCAACTGTAACTAGTCAACTGTAACTAGACAACTGTAACTAGTCGACTGTAACTAGTCACAACTGTAACTAGTCGACTGTAACTAGTCGACTGTAACTAGTCATAACTGTAACTAGTCAACTGTAACTAGTCAACTAACTAGTCGACTGTAACTAGTCAACTGTAACTAGACACAACTGTAACTAGTCAACTGTAACTAGTCACAACTGTAACTAGTCAACTGTAACTAGCCAACTAACTAGTCGACTGTAACTAGTCGACTGTAACTAGTCGACTGTAACTAGTCATAACTGTAACTAGTCATAACTGTAACTACTCTGTACTTACGCTTTAATAATCTCTGTGGTGTCGCGAAGGCCATCGTAGTTGTAGTCGAACACAGGTCCAGTCAGAACGTTAATGCCGTAATGTTCATCTGCATAACGTCTCAGCAGTGTCCCCTGCAGGTAACTCCAGATTCCTGCATCGAGAAAATCAGTGATTTTAGCTCAGACCAAAGTCCATTTAGAAAAAAGAATTCTGCCGCCTCCATCACTAAGTTAAAGTCTTTTAATTTTTTGACTGTTCAGTTTGAAATCATTTGTTGTGATTAACATCACTGACACAAACTGACGACAGGGGGCAGCAGTGGACCAGTAGCTCCTGTGTTCATGTGAGTTAAAACATTGATTTTCTCAGTGGACTTTGATGTGGTAGAGCAGTTGGTGAAACATTAGCAGATGAATGATGCAGCAGCGTCTTGTGTCAGTTGTTGGTCTGTAGTTGTGTGTAGTTGAACTTACTCTTAAAGGCAGGAAACATTGGCACGGTGTTGGTGACGAGAGAAGCGTCAAATCTGGACTCTGGAGATGATGCTAACTCTGTCAACAAACACAACACGTACACACGTACCAGTGGGAGACTTTATTATATACAGCAGATTGGGCTAACACCTAGCATGATGTCAGGCTAACTATTAGCCACTTATTTGGTTTATTGGTTTATCTCTGTTGGTCATTTCTGGTTAGCTTCAGGCTATTACAATGTTTGGACTGTCACTACCTATCTTAGTGGTAACTTTGGTCTGTTGTCTGTGGTCAGTTGTCCATAGTCAGTTGTCAGTGGTGTCTGTGGTCATGTCTGTGGTCAGTTGTCCATATGTGGTCAGTTGTCAGTGGTGTCTGTGGTCAGTTGTCCATAGTCAGTTGTCAGTGGTGTCTGTGGTCAGTTGTCAGTGGTGTCTGTGGTCAGTTGTCTGTGGTCAGTGGTGTCACTGGTAAGTGGTGTCTGTGGTCAGTTGTTCATAGTCAGTTGTTCATAGTCAGTTGTCAGTGTTGTCAGTGGTGTCAGTGGTGTCAGTGGTGTCAGTGTTGTCAGTGTTGTCAGTGGTGTCAGTGTTGTCAGTGTTGTCAGTGGTGTCAGTGTTGTCAGTGTTGTCAGTGGTGTCAGTGTTGTCAGTGTTGTCAGTGGTGTCAGTGTTGTCAGTGTTGTCAGTGGTGTCAGTGTTGTCAGTGTTGTCAGTGGTGTCAGTGTTGTCAGTGTTGTCAGGTGGTGTCAGTGGTGTCTGTGGTGTCAGTGGTGTCTGTGCTCTGTCACCTGGTGGAAACAGGAAGCCGTGGCTGTAGCTGCTGCCGTGGCTGTAGCTGCTGCAGCTCTGACTCTGAGCTGCAGTGACTCTGGAGTCCAGTCTGATGCACTGATGGAGACCAGGACTCAGGTCAGGGACCGGGGTCAGCTCCTCCTGACACACACACACACACACACACACACACACACACACAGGCATGTTTGACCAAACACTAAACAGACAACCAGGTGTGTGTGTGTGTGTGTGTGTGTGTGTGTGTACCTGTGGCAGCAGTGTGTAGGACGTCCACAGAGACAGGGCCAGGTCTCGACTGTATCCACTGACAAACTCCACGTGATGAAGTAAAGTGTAACGAGTTTCAAACATGACGGCAGGACGACCGAAGGGCAGCAGAGTGACGTCTGTACACACACACACACACACACACACACACACGTCTGTACTGTGCTGTTGTTTCTAACCAGGACTTGAACTCACAACCTCAAACCAACAGTTGGATCAAACTGTTTCTTACTGTAGCCGTCACGGCCCACGGCCGCGGCCGCTGGGCTGAAAGACTCCACCGTTTCCTCCACTTTGTTCTGGGAAAACAACACAGTCAACGACAAAGCCCTCATCGACACACGCTGACATCATCAGTGATGTCACACACTCACCTCCTCCTCACAGCTGCAGCCCAGGTCACGGCCCACGCTCGTCTCGGTGTCTTCGGACGCCGGTGTAGGCGGGGTCACCTCCTGAGGCATGGTGGGAAAGTAGGCGGGTTCTCTCAGCATGTCGTTCAGGCTGCCGTGACTCCCGTTGTTTGGAGCAGGTTCAAGTCCCAACAGGTCTGAGGTCACGGGTTCATTTAGATTCAGATCCAAGTCTAACTGTCAGTCGTCATGGGTGGAAACAAAGCCGTTCTTACCGCACATCACGTTGTACAGCTCGATGTTATCAAACTCTGGAACCTGTTTCTGGAACTTGAAGCTGGGACCATGACCGACAAAGATCGTCTGCACGAAACAGGAAAAACAAAGCAGGAAAACATGGAAACAAAGGGGGTTTTCCCTGGGTTTTTGAAACAAAGTTGAAATTGTGCTCTTGTTACTTCCTCTACAAAATGATTTGTTACATAATCTTTAACTAATGTCTTCAAAAGTGAACCATGTCAGAATAATCCATTAGTGTGTTTTGGGAGGGAAAATTCACACCAATCCTCACAGAGAAGAAGTGCTGATTTTCTCCATGGACTTTGGTCTGAACTAAAATCTCTGATTTTCTCCATGGACTTTGGTCTGAACTAAAATCTCTGATTTTCTCCATGGACTTTGGTCTGAACTAAAATCTCTGATTTTCTCCATGGACTTTGGTCTGAACTAAAATCTCTGATTTTCTCCATGGACTTTGGTCTGAACTAAAATCTCTGATTTTCTCCATGGACTTTGGTCTAGTACTTTAAAGGACCAGGTTCATATTCTGTTCACCCTCATGCTGTTGATCTTGTTGTCAAAGCCGTGGTCTCCTAAGAATCCACAGCGTGTCCTCAGCTTCTCCGGCATTTTCCTAAAAACAGAAACAGTGTTTTTTTTTTTTTAAACAAATTCCATCAAGTGGAAGCTAACACAAATGAACCAACAGTTAATACAGAGCAGCACGCGACAAAGTGGAAGCTAACACAAATGAACCAACAATTAATACAGAGCAGCATGCGACAAAGCTAACACATCGGCTAACACATCAGCTAACACATCAGCTAACACATCAGCTAACGGTTGGATTGAAGCTGTGCGGCCGGACGGTGTGTCTTCCTACTTGGCGATGTGCCACTTCCTCTCCATCAGCAGGTGAACATCCTCGATGCGGCGGTTGTTGGCGTAGTGAAGCCTCTTGGGTAAATGTTGCTTCAGGTAGGGCTTAAAGTGCTGAGTCGACATTTTACACTGGAATCAAGACGGCAGATTAGGATTAGAGAGGAAGAACACACACACACCAGAGTACAGTGTTAGCGTAGCTGGGTGTGTACGTTTGGAGCTAAGGTGACTCACTACTGACATCTGCTGGTGTTTTGTTCTGATTACAGAGATTTAACAAAGTTGGTAAACTCCAAATATTAACTTTTTATTTACTACATTGGTGGAGAGTTAGCAAAAACACCTACAAGTTAGCCAAATTGTAACTTTGAGATAAAAGATAAATAGGTGTGAGAAGATAGCTAGCGGTTAGCCAAAGAAAATGACAAACTAGCAGAGAGTTAGCTGAATGTTAGCCCAAAGAGCGCTAAAATAAGAAACAAAATAAAATAACCAACGCTAAGAGTTAGCAGACAAACATTGTAGCTAATTAGCGCAGCTAATCATTAGCCTAAGATCAGTAACGTGAGAAACGAACTAAATGTTTCACAGCGGTAAAAAGATGCTGCTAGCAGGAGCCAACTTCCCGTTAGCTTCTCACCGTCAGGTTAGCCACCACCACCCTGGGGTCATCTGCAAAGACAGGTCACAGGTCAGTCTGACACGTCAACCTCTGACACCAAGAGGAAATAAACAAAAGTCTGGCTCAGGGCCAGGGTCGGCTCACAGGTGCTGGACTTGGGGTCTCGGGGTCGAATCCTGCCCAGAGAGCCTGGGATCAGCGTGACCTCGTCGAGGTTGAGAGGGTAGTTGTTGAGGAACTCGGTCCAATCACAGTGGGCCTCCTCCATCCCTGAGAAACAGACCCACAGCAGGTCAGCTGGACAACATTTGGATTCATCTGCGACCTGAAGGTGGCGCCCAAGAGGCAGTAGAAGCGGAGCAGCTGGTACCGTGGTCTCCAACGATGATGACGTTGACGCAGCGGTGCAGGTTCATCTGCTTCAGGCCGTTCATCAGCTGACCAACGATGTTGTCCAGGTCCCTCAGGTGGACGTCCAGCTGTGGACACGGAGGGACACTTGATGTGGGCCGCACTCTGAGACACAGCTCTCTCCCAGCAGCCCCCCCCCCCCCCCCCCTCCAGTGTGTCTACTCTCACCTCACTGCTCAGGGGGCCCAGTTTGTGTCCGTAGGTGTCCGGCTGCTCTGAGTGGACGGCGTAGACGTACGGCCTGCAGAGAGACATCGGCTCGGTCAGCTCCTCCCTCAGGTCACTCAGAGGTCACTCAGAGGTCACTCAGAGGTCACTCAGAGTAACTGATGGTTACCATCAATGTGTGTGTGTGTGTGTGTGTAAAAACCTCTCGTGGTCCGGCAGGTGCAGCCAACCAAGGATGGTCAGAATCCTTCTCTCCAGAGGAATCACCCTGAGGAGGGGGAAGGGGG